GAGAGTGAGGAGAGAGAGAGAGAAAGCAGACAGAGGAGAGAGAGAGAGAAAGCGGAGAGAGAGAGCGAGAGAGAGAGAGAGAGAGAGCGGAGGTAGAGAGAGAGAATGCGGAGAGAGAGAGATAGGAGAAAGAGAAAAAGCGGAGAGAGAGAGAGAGAGAGAGAGAGAGAGAGAGAGAGAGAGAGAGAGAGAGAGCAGGTTTGTCTCCAACGTCGTGGCTGGCCTCACGGCACTTCCATCGATAGGATGAGCAAAATCGAATGTATCTACCGCCTATGTGTCCCCGTAGGTCGCGGCCGCCTTCGACTCGGCCACGGTCGAGGAGGCCGGCCGCGGGCCCGCGGCCTAGGCCGCCCGACCGAGTCTTTTTGTGGCCGTGCCACAACCACGCTGCAGCACGCGAGGGAAAAAAGCGCGCGCGCGGCCTGCGCACGTCGGCCGCTGTCGGCCTGTGCAGAAAAATAAAAAATAAAAAAATTTGGGGGGGTGGTTTTTTATGTATGACAAAAACAAATTAAAAAAAATAGGGAAAAAAAAAATTCATTGATTGATTGTTTTTTTATTAATTGATTGATTGATTGATTGATTGATGGGTTCTTGATTGATTGATTGATTGATTGATTGATTGATTGAAACATGTTATTCGTTAAAATAGGACATTATACTGTGTCCTCTTTCTAACGAATTCATTTTTGGCTGCATTCCAAGCAACGTAGGCACGCCCATCCAGGGCTTAAGCACATGCAGAAGTGTGCTGAGATCCCTACTTGTGAAACTTTATAAATAATATCCCAAATGAGGAAGCGTGTTGAAACCCGTACATGTTAGGCACGCCGCACGGGAACCTTGTGCGGAAGTGTGTCGGGATCCTTACTCACTGAACTTCAAAAACGTGGCACTGCTGGGAATCCTTTGCGGAAGTGTGCTGGGATCCGTACCTGTTAAACTTCATAAACGAATAACGATGGGCACGCCCATCAGGGAACCCTGTGCGGAAGTGTGCTGGGATCCTTACTTGTTGAACTTCAAAAATGTGTTGGGAATCTTGTGCCGAAGTGTGTTGGGATCCGTACTTGTTAAACTTCATAAACGAATAACGATAGGCACGCGGAAGTGTGCTAGGATCCGTACTTGTTAAACTTCAATTCCATAATTGTGATGAGCAATGTGTCATGATTGCATCCTCGTTGGATAATTATATTAGAAGACGTAAAGTAGCGACAGGTCCGCCCATCCGGGATGCCTGTGCGATAGTGTGTCGGGAGCCACACTTGTCAAACTTCAAGTTTGTAAATGTGATGAGCAAGGTGTCATGATTGAATCCTCGTTGGATAATACTATTTATTTCGGTTATGTGTGAGTTGTACATGCACGGCAATCATCTCGCCCGAGGCGGTTGTTTGGATGTTGTAGAGATTCAGACTTCTTTAGAAGTACAAAAAGTTATTTTTGACATACAATTTATTTTTTCTGGTCACGAACGCAAAATTGTCGGTTACATGTAATACAGGCGGTCACAAGCACATGATTGTCTATGCACACAAGAGACGTGATGTCAGTGGTCTTTTACTCTTTGCACACCGAACCTCACACCCATATACTCGCTGAGATTTGTCTTGCATCCACACTCCAATTCGTCATGTCGCACCACACACACGAATATCATTTCGAGGAGAATTATATGCACAACTTTGGATGACCTGGACACAATTTGCAACGAGGACTGCAATGCGATAAATGTAATGATACGACAGATGAGCCGGACCTGACAGAGATTTCGAAGGCAACACGCGATGCCAGACTGACAGTCAACATACCAAAGACAACTCAAACTCGCAACACCAAAAGAAAGTAATGTCGTTGTGAAAGCGACAGTTAAAATATGAAATATTCTGAAACCGAAGTTTGCAAATCAATCAAATCCATCAAAGACAACGGCATTCCAAGATACATGATGCCAATTTTCGTCTAATATGCGGAATATTTCTACAAGAAAACCTGAAAGGCGGTCGATCGCCATGTTGCAACAGTGTCGCAAACATCAACATAAACACCCCGCAACTAACTTCATCCACTTGTCTTGGAACTCCCTCTATAACAACATTTGTTGCTACCGACTTCCAACTCATGCACGACCGCCTATGTGATGTTTGACATTCCAAATAGTGTACGATCAACTCGAAAACTCTAAGGTAAAAACTAGAATCGGCTACAACGCAAGGAAAATAATCGAAAATCTCAAGAACATTATCTCTCAAGTTCACGGAAAGGAGGATCCTGTGATCATTATCTTTGTGGACTGGAAAAAGATAATATCATATTGAAGCAGATCCACGTTTTTAGCCCATTTTTCCACCCCGCCGTGTCCTTGAAGTTGCAGTTTACTGAAGAAGAAAAAATTAAAGTTGACGACTCGAAGGCCTGATGGGATGTCACGTATCCCATATGCGGTCGTTCCCACCAGCGCCATGTAAAAGTTGACCACCTCATCATTCACCCTGTCGTCGGTAAGTGAGAGGGTGAGAATATCCTTCGCTGCAATTCGCATTTGACCATCGCCGAGGGTCGAGAGTACAGTGTTAGGTGGCACCAAGCCTCGTTCAATGTCGTCCAAAACCCGCAAGCTTCCAATCGCAGTCACTGTTGTTCCAGGTGTCGTGGCCCGCACTGCACAACATCGACCAAAGGACAGGGGGGGAAGTGAGAAACGGAACTCTAATGATTCTCCTTCATAGCATGACGAGCAGTTAAGTATTTTTCATACATGGCCTGACCCCTGGTCACAGATCGTGGGTATGTCCCTTTCTCTGGGGGCAGAAAAGAAAGACACTCCTCAATGGCAATGACATGCTCCTTCTTCCCGATTTCGACATCAACCCCTTCCGCCTTTAACATGTCTTTGTGTTTTGTCGTCAACCCCGGGACTGTCTGCAATATGTGTTCCGGATATTTAGAGGGCCTCCGTGTTCGAGACGACCCTACCCCTGTACAACAGAAGAAAGACAAAATGGAAAATGAATACACGTTTCCGAAGAAGAACCCAACGAAAGGACATTTAAAGAACCACGAAACATAAAAGACGCAGGACCTATGCAACTACAGAACCCCGTTTTGCCATGAGAGTGCGAGAGAGAGAACTTCCGCATGAGCCACGTTGCAAAACAAAACGACCAGTGCACTCGAGCTCGACACCCAACCACAACAAGTCACAAAAGCGGAAGCCAAACATCTCTGAAGTCCGGATCCCGACGGACTTTTCGAACCCAGGGAGATGACCCAACCCATGTACAACCGAAAGAAGAGAAAACGGAAAATGAATATACGTAATCCAAGACGAATCCGACGAAAACGACAATTTAAGAACCACGAAATGTAGAAGACGCAGGATCTCTTTAATTACAAAACCCCGTTTAGCCATGGGAGAGATAGAGAATACTTCCGCGCAAGCACCGCTGGAAAACAAAACGAGCAGTGCGTCCGACCTCGACACCCCCGCCCTTCAGAAGGAAAAACCTCAACAAGCCACAAACGCGGAGCCCAAACATTTCCGAAGTCAGGATCCCGGCGGACTTTTCCCAATCGAGGCACAAAAAGAGTGACCGCATTACGCAGCGGCCTTGGTAATGCGGATCCCTGCGGACTAAAACCACCACCCATTCCGAAAAAGAAACACCATCCTTCCATTATGTGAGGGAACGCTTCAACAAAAACACACATGTTTTTGTCTCGTATGCCCTGCACACGACCAGTGACCTGGCCGACGCACAGGATGGTCGTTCACATGTACTTGGAAGTTTGAAGGAGTGGTGGCTGTAGCATGCCGGCATGAGRAACTCCTCGCATCGACAGACACTGCGGTCACTGGCGCGCAGACAGAGTGGCGTTTGTCACTCCTTACCAGTTGGTTTGTGTCTCCGCTCCTTAATCGGTGAAGTTGGCGCGGGCAAGGCCAGCACGTCGAGAGCTTGAGTGTCGACGGGAGTTTTTTTCGGGGACGTGACATGTTGTCGTCCCCCGATCTCGCCTTCTCCTCCGTTGGCGATGGTCGGCGGCAGCATCGGAGAGTTCGTTGGCGGGAAAGCCACGACTGATCCAGCGGAAGGTTTGACGTCGAGAGGGTAGTCGACACCAGGCGTCGAGGACACCTGCGCGGACATGTGGTGGTCGCCTAGGATGTCGTCGATAACTTCATCGGAGAGTTCGTTTAGTCAGGCTTACTGCAACACGAGCTTCGTTGAACCGGTGTTGGTGATCGACGGCAGACGTCATTGCTTGGACCTCATAGTCATCAAGTTCTGCCGAAAGGCTTGTGACCACCTGTGTCTCCATATCCAGTGCCGTGTCATCGTCGTCGTCGTCTTCCTCGCGATGTTCTCTGCACAGCTGTCCGAATCCGTCAAACGACTCCCCAGATCTGCCATCGTCGTCGCTGAACGTCCGTTCGTCGTCTCCAGTATCGAGTTCCCGTTTTTCCCCCTCCTTCCCTCCGAGCAACCCAGCCAACTCCGTTTCTTCCCCTTCCTCTCCTTCCTCCCCTTCATCCTCTTCTTCCTCCCCATCATCCCCTTCTTCCTCCCATTCCTCCCCTTTGTCTCCTTCCTCCCCTTCCTTCTCTTTGTCCATCACCCTGCCTTCTTCCCTTGCATGCAATCCAGCCACCTCGCCCGAACCCGTGTCGAATTCCGACGAATGCCCTTCCCGCCCGCCGCACGCAGCCCCTCCCGCCGGCATCACCGAGCCGGCGGATTAAGTGGGCACGTCCGCTGACTGTGCCGAGCCTTCCGGACTGGGATCGGTAGACTGCTGACGCCCTAAGGCCTCCCCCGCCACCCCGCCGCTGCCTTCCGCTGTCGTGGTGTCGCCGTGAGACCCGCCCTCAGAACCAGGCGGGACTCCTTTGCCACCCCCAGCCTCGTCGCCCTCGTTCTCCCCACCGTCCGATCCCCGGGACCCTGTACTTACATTCGTCCCACTGGGAGGGGAGATTTTCCAGTCCACCCTTCCCTTCGATAGGCTTGTATCGAGGTCGTAGCACTTGTCCTGAAGTTCGGCGAACAATCGCCCGGCTGTGGAAATGACGGACACGTCTTCGGGTGCAAAAGAGTCATTCTCAGTTCTCACTTTCAGGACTACCGCAATTCTAGCGACGTCGAGGAAGTCAGACTTCGACCCGTGAGGGAGGGGCATCCATCCTCCGTTCGGGACAGCGACTGCAACGATCCACTCACCCTTTTGGATCGTCGGCTGGATGACTCCTAGATGCCAAATCATGTCATGGCCCCAGTCCGCCTCTGTGGAACGACTTTGAGGCTCAGGCAGGAAGTGAATGTTGGCATCCTTCCAAGACAGATGATCGGGCGGGATGTCAGACCCGGGACGCAGTGAGCAATGGCCGGAGGCCAGAGCCTGCAGTCTCTGCAGCAAGGCTTGTCCAAGAAGGGGACGACTCTCATCCACGGGTCGTTTTCGAACTCTGTTGTCATCGACTCGACAATTTCGATATCGCCTCCTGGACCACGGAATCCGCATGCACAAGGGTAAATGGGACACGCATAATCATGCCAATGGTCCATGACTCCTGTCGCACTCCCTACACAAGACATGAAATGCAAACACAAATGAAAATGAAATGTGGAAATAATAGAAAATTCGCATTCATGATGAACTTAACTTCGAAAATTGCCGAACCATCACCAACCATCTTAAAAATTTCAACCGTGGACCGTGGACAAAATTCGCTACGCAAAATCATCGCAAAAATAATATACTACCTTCTGAATTCTCGTTCGTCCAAACAATTATTTTCAAAAATCTCACTCCCCTACTTTATCCGGCGGACGTGCACTTGTCACTTTTGTCCCCTCCATCTGCACTCCCTTCACCAGAAGGACTCAGATCTAGAAGTGCAGCTTCAACATTTAGTCGAACACAGGAAGGAATGACAAGTCCAGTCGTGAATGGTCTTGACCTCGGACCGGTCTCTCCCAACCAAAAGCGATCGAGTCAGCATCCTGCCATTGTGTCTCCTCAGTCATTTTCCATCGTTTTTCCCATGCGTTCTCATACAGTTGTTCGAGCGACGTAGCTCTCCCAGTCGGCACCCAATATTCCACTAGCACTTGATTATAATTCTGCGAATTATAATCAACAACCACCCGAGAGAGAGCTTTGCCCACCCAGATTGGCACACCGCTGGATAGATCATCGTCGGAGGGGTGAAGGATAAGAAAAGTGCCCACGTCAACATGCACGAGGGGGTCGAAACTAGTTTTCGGGCGATTTTTTATTCGTCCAACAAACAGGGGTTCCCTGTCGTCGATGTTGACACTGTGAGGAGAAGGTTGTTGATCGCTTTCGAGTAGCTGTGGTCGTGGCCAAAAACTTTCCTGAGCTTGTGAGGACAACCCGTTGGCGATGATCTCATCGCCATGTTTGATAACCTCCTCCCAGTAACACAAAGCTCGTTCTCTCCTACTCACCTCATGGTCATTGTAAGGGCACCACGTCGACCGCCTACTCTCCAGCAACTCGCAGAATCGAACAACACCATTTTTGCCATTCAAATAGTCATTTCGAGGAAAAGGTTGCACATGAGGCGGGTCAAATGGCCACGAAGGACCTGCATAGCTCTCATCGGGGKTTTGATTGAACCAATAAATCGGACCTTCCTCGGACAACCATTCGTCGTCATCGCAAAACTCCTTGTACAACATGCCCGAATTATCCCCGACTATAAAAAATTTAAGCAAGTGCGGTTTCGAAATACCGGTAATGTCAGATGCAACGCACGGGTCTACTATACTAATCCAATCTTCCATCGTATCGAGGAAAATACATTTGGGAGGCTTTTTGTGTGATTGCTCTATGAGCTCGAAAAACTCGTCCATACTATAAGCGTCTACGTCTTTCAATTTCTTCGAGAAAACGCTGAAAGTAGCGTCAACGTCTGTATGGGTGTGTCCCACCAGCATGAAACCTATTTCTACTACTTAGAAAACTTTGAACTTAACCAACAGTGCAGCCATCGCACATATGTACTTGTTCTTGTTTTCCCGCCAACAGTTATCTGCTTGAATGCGCAAAAATCGTGGCAGTGGCGTCCCGCTCCCTTGAATTTCGACAAGGCTTTTCATAACACAAGTAGCGACCGTGTTCGAATTGTGTTTGAAATACGGAAACCACGTGTATACATATATACTAGGGTGTCTACCGTGTGCAATGACGCCTGTCAGATTTGTCTTCATCATCATCTCGTGCCTAAGTGCTTTCGAGTAGTTTGCCTGGCCAATATGGGGGATAGTTGTTTTCTTCCGATCCATGCCGTGAATGATGAGACACAAACGCTCGTTCGAACGGACCATCGAATCAGTTTTCGCTCGACTATAGTCCAATCTGTGTTCAACTTGCCTCCTTTGGTGAGCTTTCATATCCTCTCGAGCTTGTTAACGATCTCGAGGAATAACAGCATATTGTATACGTTCCTTTGGCTCATGACAAACGGCGCACTTCGTGAACGTGTTAGAGTGCGCGAGGGAAACGTGGAAAAAGTGTTTCCGCCACAATTTATAAAAGTTGAACTCAAACACGACAGCGAGGCCAGCGGCCAGAAAGTCTGATTGGATGGACTCATAAATTGATCGCTTCGTGAAAGCAGCCGGGAGTCGAAGCTTCGGTCTGGAAACCCCACCTTCGTTAGCCACCTCATTCGGCATGCTATCCGCATGACACTCGATGAACGTTCTCATGCTGACAAGCATGGCGACCGTTTTACTGGTTGRCCGATATTTYYCCGYCAGGCCATGCTCGGAACGCACGTTACCATTGTCGAAACGCTTTTTGTAGCTGTAAAATGTATTACGCGAGACACCGAGTACATTGCAGTACGCCTTGACGCACATCGAACGTTCCAACTCCACAGGGCGGACACGTTTCTGTCCACCCTCATTCACCGTGAAATCCTTAATACTTTTCATCCAGCACTCAGCTCGCTCTACCGGACTCTTACTGTATAGTCCTTGTCTAACCTTTCACACTTCCTCAGACGACACGTCGTAAAAACATCATGCCTTGCAACATGCCATGCCGCGCACCATGAGCATTCTTTTTTTGGACAGCATGTTTCTCGCTCTTTTGTAATGTTCTTTCCTCCTAGCGTTCCTATTAGCCATGCTATACGTTTGTCTTTCGCCTGGCAGAGGTGCCAACAAAATCTGCAGTATCACTTCGCACTTGTGTTGGACTCGCCCGTGCTGTGGAAAGTTCCTCCGAAGAATAGTCAGTGGCAACCAACTCCGTACTACCAGAGCTAGCACGAAGCAAAGGTCCACTGGAAGCGGACTGTTGTGCAGACGAGTAATCAGTGACCACACACTTCTCACTCTCGTCATCAGATGTTGCGTAAGAAGCACCCATTGGCACGCAACTGCTGTGCGCCGAAGTTGTGGGGTGCACCTCGCCAGGAAAGTGGAACTCGATCCAGGAGGCAGACGGTTCTTCACCCGCGGATGTTGTTGCCAAATCCGTAGGTAGTTGGATGCAACCTCCAAAGCTCTCACGAAAAGCTAGACTTCTTTTTCAAGGGAAAGCTGCAGTGGACTGTTGGAACGGTGAACTGTCCGAAGAGCTCGTCGGGGCCAATTCCAGGTGTTGTAACTGGTAATGCACGTCGACGGCTTGTCCAGTTTCCATATCCCGTTTCATGCGGCCGTTCGCCAAGCCGTCTTTGGTGCCGTCATGTAACCGTCGGTGCAGCGGATGTGATTCCCGTCAGCGAAATCGATTAAACTATCCAGTGCGGATTGAACGGGTCATTCGAATTTGTCTCCACACCCTGCAAAACAACGGAGCAAACTGTAAGCACGATACTAAAGAATTAAGGGCCAATCCCCCCCCCCC